CACATAAACTGTAGTGAACAAATAGATTACCATTGTATATAATCTATTAACTACAAAATATGTAAACAGTCTATTAAGAAAAAAAAATGTGTTACTGCTGCAGGTATTGGATGGAAAGTTGACTATAGAAAGGAAATTCTGTCATCACAACTCTCTGTGATAGGTGAAAGGAAAGAATGCATTTGCCTAATTTTCCTGACTCTGTATTTTTTTTGGTAAATGCCCAGTTATTATATCATGGCTTTGTTGTTTATAACTCCGACAGTCTAGCTGAGCTGCAGAGTGTGATAATTGCATGTTTCATCTGGGAGACAGCATTAATAATTAAAATTGTGAATGGGTTAGTGAGCCTGGGTTCATTAAGGAGTAACTCATGCATGTGAGGATTATTCCATTATAAAGATTTTCTTTTTATCATGTGATCCAAATAACCCTAAGAATTGAACAGCAAGAGTTTTACCAACTGACGAGGAAGGAAATCTATAGAACATGTGGGAACCTGCACCTTTTATTGTTAATGACACTATACCTGCTGGTTAAACAAATACAGCTTAGTAAACAGAATAAGGACTGCACTACTGATAAATCAAGACATTCATTTAATCCTTCCAGTTTGGTAATATATATGCAAGTCCACTTACTTGATTCATAAAGCAAATAAAGCAACCCATAGTTCAGCAGATGCATTAAAAGGCAAACATGATCTGAAGGGATATTGTTCAGGTTCTGACCACTATTATTAAACGTGTCCAAATAAAAGGTCTGAGTACAACTAGCTAGCGACTGTAACTCTAACAGTCAGAAAAATGTATGTTGTTTACTACTGTAAGCTGGTTGTTGGCTGAATTCAAAGATTTAAACATTGCATCAATCTGAATTTGATTACGTTTGCTGTTAAATCCAGACACCTAGTATCTGCAAAGTTATTTTTTGACCATGCATTTTTTTTTTGCTAATATGCATCTAATTCAACCCCCTCACTCCCCACCAACACAGACACACCCACAGTTAAAGTTCATGATACAATACCGTGTCCTCTTACCGTACACAGGCCTGTGAAAAAGTGTTTGGCCTGTAAAGTTGAACCCTGCACCCTACCCTGTCAACCAGCAGCACAAACTGCCTGGATCTTGCTGTGATATATTGAAAGATGGTTGTCATATATTCGGCCCTTCGTGCCAATGTCGCCTCTTTGAAGTTTGATCCCCAACGAAAGATTTTATTTTGTAGTCTTTTAAAATATGCACATTTCCAATATAACTCCGGTTATTCATTTTTCTTAAAAAAGGGACACTATGACAAATTGCAAACAACACAGTTTTAAGAACATAAGAACATAAGAACTAGAAACAGGAGTAGGCCGTCTGGCCCTTCGAGCCTGCTCCGCCATTCAACAAGATCATGACTCATCTTTTCATGGACTCAGATCCACTTACTCGCGTTCTCACCGTATCCCTTAATTCCTTTATTGTTCAAAAAAAATCTACCTTTTTTTTAAAAACGTTTACTGAAGTAGCGTCAACTACTTCACAGGGCAAGGAATTCCATAACAACCCTCTGGGCTAAGAAATTCCTTCTCAATTCAGTCCTAAATCTGCTCCCTCTAATCTTGAGGCTATGCCCTCTTGTCCTAGCTTCACCTGCCAGTGGAAACATCCTCTCTATTTCTATCTTATCTATTCCCTTCATAATTTTATATGTTTCTATAAGATCCCCCCTCAATCTTCTGTAGTATTGTTTGGATAGTTTAGTAATAGACGTTGATGCGTGCGAGTGAACTGCTTAAGAGTCGAGCAAAGATTAAGGTTACAGATTGACCTTTCCTGTTTTTTTTTAAATATTGGATCAGGTTCCACTCTACAGTAATTATAAAATGTCATTGACCGTAGGGTTTGCAATTAGATCATTTTCGTTTGAACGAGTGGTTATATTTAATTATAGTAATCTATTGACTGAAAGGTTTTGCTTCTGAATCAGCTCGATTACAGAAAGAGCCGACTAGTTCTTCCATCAATGAAACGTACCTGAAATTGTATGGAAATAGCAGGAGCAGCAACGCTGCAGAAATTGTATACACAATAGTATAAATGTAAAGAGGAAATGTGCAAGAAAATACAATCAACTCCTCTCGAGGGTGTTGGAGAGGATACTTCTGATCGTACGTAGGCGTAATAAGCTCATTTATGTTTCTTTGTTCCAGGGATGTTTCTGATACAGAGAGTTAAACATACAACATAATTTTAAATTGGATGATGCACTTACCGCGTCTCTGCTTGAACTAATAAATATTTCTAAAAATGTAACGAAGCATTAACTCCTGGCCTTTTAAAGTGCATATGTATGGATACAAAAGTTTGCAAAAACGAAAAGGAAACCCTGGGTTTTCTTATATTCTAAGAATATCAGTTAAACCCAGTGTAATCCACAGAATAAACGGTTACACGAATTGACAATGTAAGCATGTGTTATCGGTGGACAATTAAACCCAAGTGGGTTTAAGGAGTTGACTATCAGGGGGTATTACAAACGGAATTCTTTTTCCCAAAAAATACAAGACTGAACCCCGGTCGCAGTGGGATTTAGTCAGCAGGAATATTACAGCGTCCCCTTTGTAGTTTATTTTTCCACCTCTCCAAAGCACTAATAATGTCAATATCGAAGCCTTTGCTTTGGATTAAACAAGCTGCCCTAAATCGTATCAAAAGTAGAAATTGCTGGAAAAGCTCAGCAGGTCAGGGAAATGCCCCATTAAAGTGGTTTTACCTTTTAAATATCCAAAAGTCTGGATTATTTATTCATTTGGAAGAAGCCATCTCTCAACTAAAGAAGGTTTTAATTGTTTACTTTATGCACGAAAACCGACAAGACAGGTGTATGTATGTGGACAATGGTTGACTTTGTTATTCTAAGCAATTTCGATACAACAACACTGATATAATTTAGTTGAAGTACGTTTCACATTAAACGTCTTTCCTCTTGAAATTAACCGGTTTATGCGAGGTGGCGAACAATTTTCTGGAAATAAAAGAAATGTGTACAACGCTTAGCTCCATCCTTTAAATCAGTGTAACTGTAGAAGAAGCTAAAATGAAAGGAAAGGGAATTTTAGGTTTTCACCAAAAATCTTAATTACACGCCGATAGGAGAAACGCCCGGGTTATTATGTGATGCACTTACAGTTACTTTCACAAACGACTTATCCGTATGAAATTATTTACAGCGTGATTAAGTGTACCGCACGCACAAAATATGTAATGTGACTCCTTCAGTCACCTTTCATACTGCAAACGGGCGACGATTCTAAAATGTTCGCCAATATCAAATCTTAACAAATATCAGCTGTTGCAACGTTCCAGGATTAGATTTCTAAATGTGCCCTATGTCTGAAAATCGGCAGCAGTTGGCAAAAAATTCCCATGTTCCTAACTTCCTAGAATAAAAGCAGTTGCGAAAGATCTTTATTTTATAATGGACTTGTATTTGGGATAATTCTGTAAGTGGCTTTGCAAAATTGCATCAATTTCTTTTCCATAGACACGACTATATTCAGTGAAAACCTGGTAGCGAAAGTGAAAACCAAACACAATTTTATTTTAAATGAAAAAATAAACAAAAGTAAAACGAAGAATTGCGAATGCTGGAAATCTAATTTTATTCTGTTTTTAAAAAATACCTAACACAGAAAGGGCTGCCTAGAAAACGAGTGTATTTATTCAAACCAGTCAATTTGACAGATGCACGAACGGATTAGGATGGAATTTTAAAAAAAGGAATTTAGCTGTTTTTGTTTAGGAAAGTATTGACCGACTCATGAAGCATCTAAACGAACAGCTTTTTGAACAGAATTCTGAGGAAGGGTCACCGGACCCGAAACGTTAACTCTTTTTTTCCTTCACAGATGCTGCCAGACCTGCTGAGCTTTTCCAGCAACTTCAGTTATTGTTCCTGATTTACAGCATCCACAGTTCTTTCGGTTTTTATATAGCATATTGAGAAATATCGATAACCATTTTAAACTTGTTCAGAAGCAACCTAAGTTAGAATATGAAACTGACATAAGACGTTATAGACTTGAAGGGTCAACTCTTGTTTATCGCTTGCTGAGCGTTTCTAACATTGTCTGTTTCTCCAGGTTGTTATTTCCCCGCTGAGGGATGTTGTTATACAGCTTTGGATAGGTGGACTTGAACCCCGGCCTCATAGCTCAGAGGGAAGGACACTGCCGCAAATGCCCCTCAGGTGGAGTTGGATCATGAATATCGGTGAGGGGGTCACTCTTTCGCTTTTGGTCCACAAGTCCCACCCCTGTCAATTGGAGCTGGCGCTGCGGGTAGGGGCACGCAATGTGGAATGGAGTGAATTTCCATTGGTGCAGAGCTCCAACCAATAGATGAGAGCCCTCACCGCCTTATTCCCGCTCCCCAGGGGTGATTGACAGCCAGCTGAAGGGCGGAGGGAGGGGCAGGTGCACATGTCAGTCATCTATTTATCCTTTGCAGCCTCTGTCGCTTCAACTTTGCAGTTGGACAGAGACTGGGCAGAGAACGTTTGCATTTCGAAAGTGCAAACCTAGAGCGCTTATTCCTGATGGTTCCCCCCACCCTTGCATTTGAAGCAGGGAATGTGCATATGACAAAAAAAAACTTGAAGTCTGGTTCGCTGTGATCCAAACATTTAATTGTTTTCAATAGAAAAGCCCTCCTGGTTATTTATAGCATGCCACATTCCCGGTGAGCCTGGGAAGTGCTGGCTGTTAATTGACTCTTCATGAGAGTGCGCAAATTAGTTTACAAATCCTCCTAGCGCCTTTGGTGCATCTTGTTGCCCAATCATGTTTGTTTTTATTTTGTTGTGAGCCCAACTATAAAACAAAAGAGTCGATTCTCATTGTTCATCATCAACAAACCTGTGGCTCTGTCTGCTGATTGCTTGCTCGCTCTGCTCTTTTCTGGTTTATTTTTGTGTTTTATTTTTGTATTTTTTTTCGGGAGGGGTGGGGAATGGATGGCAGAACGTCTCTGGCCTCTGCCCCGCTCCCGGGTGCCTGTGTGCAGCCCAACCCCGCGGCCGTACCCATCTCCATGGCCGGGAGCAGCGGCGGCTCCTTGCTCCGGCCGCCGGCTTTGCTCTTACGGGCAGCCGCCGCCGCAGCGGCCGCCGCTTCGGCAGCTGAGCGCTACCCCCGGACCCCGAAATGCGCCCGCTGCCGCAACCACGGCGTAGTATCGGCGCTGAAGGGCCACAAGCGCTTCTGCCGCTGGAGGGATTGCCTGTGCGCCAAGTGCATGCTGATCGCCGAGAGGCAGAGGGTCATGGCAGCGCAGGTCGCCCTCCGGCGCCAGCAAGCCCAGGAGGAGAACGAAGCCAGGGAGCTCCAGTTCATGTACGCCGGAGGAGGGGCGACCGAAGCCGGCCTGGCTATGGCAGCAGTGGCCGCTGCTGCTAACAGCATCATCCCGGGATCGAGAGCCGTCTCCGCGCCTTACGAGATCTTCGGAGCCGAGTACCAGAAGCAGAAGGAAGGTAAGCTGGACAAACAGAGCGTTAAAACCCCTCTGGGTGAAATCTGCCCGTGAAAATAAAGCAGAGAGACGAACAAAAAGGGGGGGAAAAAGAACCAGAAATTGCTGCAGACACTCAGCATCTGTGGGCAGGGAAACAGTCCTGAGGAAGGGTCACTGGACCTGAAACATTAACTCTGATTTCGCTCCACAGATGCTGCCAGACCTGCTGAGTTTCTTCCAGCAATTTCTGTTTGTGTTTCCAAATGTCGACCGCTTTTTGCGTCCATTAGATGCTGCCGAACCTGATGAGTCTCTCCAGCAATTTCTGTTTTTATTCAATGTTCAATCGTGCCAGGTTTCTGCTATAATTCGACTTCACCACCACCGCCCCCCCCCCCAAGCATCAAAATTATTTCAAATGTATTATTGAACTGTTGTAATATTATTGTTTGCATCTGGTGGATCGAGAGCTCCGGACGGGTCTGGAATATTCAATAACTTTCAATAACATCTCAAACCACTCATCTCAAATCATGTCCTCCAAATGCATCTTAGGTACTAGCAGAGCTCAACTGCTTTCAATGTCGTGATGGGCTATTTCAATTTATCAGTTTTAAAACAGACTGCGTATAATTTTATCAGTTTAAAAATGTGCGGTCTTGTTGGTAAAACATCATGTTGTTGTCTGCGTATCGAAATCGCTGTTTGGAAAACAATACTCAATCTTCTGGATAAGAAACTCTTTCTGAGCAGTTGTTTCGGCGCCCAACACGTCTGAATATTCGAGCCAGTATCTGATCATCGTCCAAATAGTAACATGCTCATTATCTAAATAGCCAACTCAGTGATAAGGTCTGGGCGTTTTCAACAAACATTTTAAATGGGGAATAAGCTCTTTCATCTTCCTGCACCCGAGTATGATAAGTGAGGACGACGGCGTTATCATCAGGCTCAAATGCAGACTTTATATGGAGATCATTTAAAAGTAAAAAATAAGCTGCAGTTTCTGCTTAGACATATTTTCATGATGTGGATCAAATTGTTTTGTCCAGACACATTAAACTTGAATCGGTACAAGTTTCAGTCAAATCCCCACTTTACACCAGGGCTAAACTTGTCCTTATAAAGAGGGAATAGATTGAAGCATTTTGAAATAAAAGGCTAATTTAGAAATAGCACGAAGGCTTCCAGTTAATCTCGGAATTATTCTACTTTCTCGTATAGTGAAGCCATTCCTTGTTACTGTTGCAATTTTCCGAGAAGGGAAGGGATCGAACAGGGATTGGATGCAGCCTGGATAATGGGCTGTTGATTCTGGCCTTATTTAAAGCACCCTCAAAAATGATCTGACTTTGATTTATTTACAAATCTCAGTTGTAAAAAGCCTAATGGGCAATTAGCAATTATTTAAATAATGGTATTCAGCCAGTGCCCAAAATGTGAATCTACACCGGTAATAAAAAGCGAAAATACTGGAAATACTACGTTCTATGAGAGACGTGTTCTGGTCGATGACCATTCGTTAGAATGGTAACGAGTGAAGTTTAGATTGCACCACTTTAGCGAGGCTGTGAATTTTAGTTTCTAATACGGTGGTCTGTTTTCTTTTGCGAAAGTAGAAACCTATTAGATTTTTTTTTAGTTATCACGATTGGGTCGAGATGCCCGAGTCGGGTGGTAAAGGGATATTTTTTTGTGAATTACATGAAACGAATGTATTCGACCCGCCCAGACATGAAGTAACTTGTTCTCAAATGAATGTCTTCAAATTGGAAATAATGCAGACCAAAAAAAGTGGAATGATAAAGACATTGCAGTTTATTTAAATAACCCTCAAGCCAATTTACTGTGGGCAAATGTTAGTGTGTTTGCGAACACGAGAAGGATATTTCCTCGACCTCGGAAACTTGTGTTCAAAGGCAGCAATCCGATCCACAAAAATAAAAATGGTTCTCATTCATTTCAAACTGTGTACATGTTGCTGGCGGTGAGAAGTTGGGTTGGTCTTTGCTGTGAACTGATGTGTCATATATAAATGAAGGGATATCAACAGCATCTGTAGCATTTGCTTCCCTGGTAGAGGAGACATTTATAATAGTGCATAAGTGTTGTTCTTTTTTACATCCTACAGTGTGGTCACCTTAAGACCACTAATAGGCCCTAACGAATTTAGTTTTTTTCGTATGCATAAATGCAAAAAAATTTAAATATAGAATAGAATGATTTGCAAACAAATATCTACGGTTAAAAAGAAATATCCTTGTCGTGGAAGATCCGTAAGCTAGTAAAAGCTTGAATGTTGTGTAGAGCTTACAGGAATAGAATCGTGGATGTGCTTTGGGATAGTCGAATATATTGGGGGGAGATTCCAAATAAAATGAGCTGCCGCCGAATAAGCTGAGCCCTGATCATATCTGCCCTGCTTGTGGGAGACCGGGTATAATTCACTGAAGCAGGAATGGCTGGTCACGAAAAAAGCAGGCCACTTGCCCGCTACAGCTAAAGGCAGAAATTTTATGTAGCAGTTTTACCAAAACGACTGATTGCAATTTGCAAACATTGCCAGCATCTGGGGAACTGAATGTTAAGACGTTATTACAGGCAGCCAAAGCAGTAAGATTCTCCTGGGAAAACCCAGAATTCCTCTGAAAACATTCAAAACCTGTGTTAGAATATTATATAACACATGTTGAAGTTCTGAATTAGGGAAAGACTAATTATACTGATCTGAAGCCTTTCTTTGTACTGAGCCAAACTGGAGATTTACTCGTTTTACTGGTTTTAATATGGATTTCAGATCTTAAGTGAAATATTTAAAAAAAAAAGTTTTCATTCAACAACATTTAAATAAGTAAGACATGCTTTAAACATATCCTTTAGTATCAAAATCGTTAATAATTTGGATTTGAAAATAAAGATGTGATCGTTTTAATTCATGTAAATCTATTCAACAGCAAATCTCTCCTCCTGGAATGTTATTTTGAAAAAAAATGAAACATTGCTGAAGAAACTCGGCAGGTCTGGCAGCAACCGTGGAGAGAGAAAATAGTTAACGTTTTGCGTCCAGTGACCCTTCTTCAGAACTGTCACATCATTTTGTTTTAGTAATTTACATTCATTGTGAGATAGTAGAAACCTATCATTGATAACACAGGTAAATCAATCAGTAGAACATGAGAGGGGGATCTCGGCTATTTTGCCAAATGGGGCCTAGAATTGGTTTTCCTTTCTAGGAAAGTTTCACTGATTTAAAACAAAAATCACATAATTCCCTGTTAAATTATAAACTATTGTCGTATCTGCTTCCTTGAATTTGATGTGCAACGCATCTATTTGCAAAACAAGCAGCATTTTCGTTGATCTACCATTTGAACGTGTCTTTTGTTTCTGTTTAGGCCAGAAAAGCCCCAAGTATGAACTATTTTACAACGGTTTGGTGAGTCGATCGGTTGTTCAGCCTGCGCCTTCTCTCGGTTCGGAGGCGGAGGGGTCAGACACGAATGGGAGGGAGAACGAAGGAAACACCGAAGCAGCAGAGACCGACCCGGGTCAGCTTTCCCCATCCCCGGATCCTCCATCGGAAGGCGCCGACAGCCCTCGCTCAGTGACTCCCTCCGATGTGGAGTCGGGCAACGAGTGTGAGAAACCCAAGGAGCTGGCGAAGGTGATGGCCAGTCTCCCCGGCTCGTCCGCCAACCACAGGGCACCCATTGACATCTTGACCAAAGTCTTCCCCAACCACAAGCGCGACAAACTGGAGTGTATCCTGGCAAACTGCAAGGGGGACGTGGTGCAGGCCATCGAGCAGGTGCTCAATGGGAAAGAACAGAAGGGACAAGGCAAAGATGTGGAGTGCCCCGGGCCCGATCCTGCTGAGCTCCAGGGAGCCCCGCACTTCACCCTAACCGGTCTTTCCGGCGGTTCCCTGGGGACCAAATCCGCCTTCTCCCCTCTGCAGTCTAGTGCAGTTTTCGGAGGACCCGCAAATCTATACGGCTTGAGCCCCAGGCTAGGCGTTAACCCACTGCGACTGGCATACTCAAGCCCCGGCCGAGGGCTGCCCACCTTCATGTCCCCTTATGTCACTTCTGGCCTGATGCCAACTCTACCGTTTCGCCCTCCAATGGACTACTCCTTCCCGGGAATAGTGAGAGACCTTCCATATTTCCAAAACAAAGAGGCGCTCTGCTCCAGTGGACTGTGCTCTCGAATTAATCCGGAGAAACAGTGACTGACTTCCGTGAGATTATTCAATTTGAGGCAGTGTACCTCATTAAACGGGGAACTTTGAATGTTAAAAATCAACAGAAAACCGGTTCAATGATTACCGACCGATTTAGTTTCACTTTGTCACCAGATTGCTCCACGGATCAATTGAAAGTCAACGTGGTTGTTTTGATTTGAAAAAAAAAATGTTGCAGCTGATAGCATTGTACTGAACAGATTGGAAAATACAGTATCGGCTGACACAGATACCAGTGAGAATGATAAACCCACACTATTTGCGTTCCGTTTCGCTTATGCTCTCAAAGAAGTGTCAGTAGGTAAAAACAGAAATTGCTGAAAAAAAGTACTCAGCAGGTCTGGCACCATCTATGGAGAGAAATCAGAGTTAACGTTACTGGATCGAGTGACCCTTCCCTCAGAAGAGTTTAACTAACAGGCCAGCGAATGTGATATCTCTTTGCCAAGGTGGACAACGATTCTGAAAGGCAGCCTGGGACGGCAGGAATACCGACATGGGCTTTTCTGTTGCTTGCGTGCAACTTTTTTTTTGGGTGGGTGTAGTTGGAGGGGAGAAAGTGTTTGAGATGCAAAATCGGACCAAGTCCAGCAATTGAAGAGGAGCTCTCAGCCTTTGCTGTAGCTGCTGACTGCATAGCCCGGCACTTAGTGCGCTAGATGCCTCAGAATAGTTAATTGCAATTATATAAAACAAACGGAAAGAAGTGCAGTTGAAAGAAAAATAGCGTATTCATCCATCAGGTGATATGACAACAGTTAGCTGGCTGTATTTAATAGCCTGTTTCGCACCCTGATTGGTTTTAATATTTCACACAGATTAGCAGTACCACTCACTCCAGTGATCTCCCGTTGCTTTTTAATCGTGTATTATAGCATTGCATAATAAAACAAAAAAAAACCCGAAAGAAATACGGATGCTGGAAATCAGAAACAAAAACAGAAGTTGCTGGAGAAACTCAGCAGGTCTGGCGGCATCTGTGGAGAGAAATCCGCATTAAAGTTTCAGGTCGAGTGACCTTTCCTCAGAACTGCAAGGTTCTCACTTCTTTGGCCAAGAAATGGTTAATGGTACGCATGGAGGGGGGGGTGGGGTGCAGCCATTGACTCAAATCTACCTGATCGAACTGTGTACAGCAACACCAACATAATTTTTAAAAAGTGCCTTATTTCGAATTAGTGAAACTGGGGGAAAAATAGAGAGTGGACCCTTTCCGGGTTTTCCCAACACGTGAAATTCCTGTGGAGTGAGAGAAAACAACACAGTCGAGGAAACGATGTTTTCCATCAAGCAACTGAAACCCAGAGATAATCACTGCTGGGATTAGATAACCTAAGTATAACTGATGATTTCAAACGGACGCAGCCCTGAGTGAAAACGCAAGGGAGAAGAGTCAGTGTTTTTTCTGAAAAATTGAAAACAAAATCACCCTGACAGTGCATTGCCGCAAGATTCACATGAATGAAATATAAAAATTCCGAAGACTTTCTGAGGAAAGGCCGTAACATTTTAGCACTGCGGACTGTCTGTCCACACATTCAAAGTCTAAACGATGAGCGGTAATTGATCCTAAAAGGATGGATATTTACAGCAAGCAGTTTACTGGCTGAGGTTGTGTTACTGTTAATCAGGAAACTGTCGTATATTTTTGCATACTGATGTTCAGAGTTAAGTGCATTGAGAACAGAGCCCTTATTGTTGTAAACAAGAAAAAAAATAAATCCATTAATAGTAAGCCGTCTTTAATTTTGTGTTCATTACCGTAATCGGAGGAAGGTATTGCATTTTTTTTGTTTTATATTTGTTCAATGTACACTCCTTGCAAATATAAGCTCACAAGAATTATTTGCAAGGAAATTTGACCATACTGACCAAAACAATAGAATTGACTTAAATAACAGTTCAATATAATTGATTTTAACCACAATATAAAATATTTTATTGATTTAAAAATAACACAAGGGCATGAAAGATGCCATTGTTTTTTTACAATTAACACTAGCCATATAACAACACCTTCTAAATGGTCCTCTCAAATTTCAAATCTAATGTTGATCTCGCTTTTTGTGTACCTTCTTTGCAGCCATAACTTTGTATTCCTCGCTCTGTTCAATCACCCTATGTATGTTAGGATCTACTTATACTGCACACAAAACAAAACTTTTCACTGTACCTAGGTACATGTGACAATAATAACTCAAATCAAACCTCACATGCCGTTGACATAAATAGTTATGGTCAGTGAAGAAATAGTTGCTCTGTTCCTTTTAATTATCAGAAAAGTAGCTTTCAGTAGGAAAGAGTGCATTTTTCTGACTGACCTCAACACACTAAAGTGATTTACAATCACCTGTCAAGTGCAGTCACTGTTGTCAAAACAGGATACAACCAACTGCAATATGATAATGACCAGAAAATCTGATTGCTTGAAATAACAGGTAAATATTGTCAGGTCACCACTATAACAAAGGGTAATCTTCAAAATTTTGCCACAGGACCTTTTAGGTCCAGTTGAGAACGCAGATGGGACCTCCCCATTTCAGTGGAAGATAGCCCATTAACACAGCATCACTCCCTCAGTAAAGTGCTGGGATCATAACTAGGGTTATGTATTTCAGTCTCTGCAGTCAAGTGATGTTGCTCACTGACTAACATATACTTTATTTATTAAAATGTTTCAGAAGGAAATGGAATCATGTCGGAAAACACTGTAGCTAATCATTGCTAATTATTTTGATCTGAGACAGATTTTGCAATCAGATAAAGAAATTTCTTAAAGAAGAATTCTCCTTACATTCACAATATTGGAAATACACAACAGTTCAGACAGAACAAAATAACCTTTGAGATGCATATCCTTTTGTCAGAAGACCTTCTACATTGCTTAAATTAGCAAAAACACTTGCAACAATCTGTGGAAACTAGATTTATTGTGATCTTTAGGAACAGAGGAACAGGAATAGTCCAATTAGCCCTAAACTCTATTCTGCCATCCAAATGATTTATGATGAATCCAAATCTTAACTCCATTTATTATTCCATTGTTTTTATAACCACTAATTTAAAAAGAATGCCAAATAAAAGTCATTCATTTGCAGTTTAGAATTTCTTTTTGATTCACCAAACCTCAACAACTATTGGAGAGATAGTTCCAGATTTATTTTGAAGTGCCTCATGATATCACCCCGAAAGCATGACTCTAATTTCAAGGTTATCCCTCATTGTTCCGGTTTTCCTAGCAAGAGGAACTAGCTTTTTCTCCATCTGTGCCAATAAATCCTGAAATTATCTGAAACATTTCGATTACATCACCCCTTAGTTTGAACTAACAGGGTGGAGACTGAAGGAACATTTGGGCATCTAAAGGAAAAATCAAAACAACGGAAGAGTTGGTAAAAACAAACAAATGAAGACAGGAAAGTCTAATGAACAACTGCTCATTGGTGAGTAAGGTCCACGCAGAGAACCACAGTAAAAGGAATAAAATTGAAGGGCCTTTATCTGTTTGTGTGAAGTACCACAATATGAGACAGGAGCTAATGGTACAAGTAGAGTTAAATGGTTTAGACCAAATTGCCATTGCAGGGAAATGGTTACATAAGGCTGGAATAAACAGTGAGGCCACATTCCCTGTCCCTTAGCCTAAATAGTAGAGATGACCCTGCCTCTACTAATATTTTTTACCCTTCATCAACTGTCCAGAAATGTTATGACACACCCCTGGAGCAGGTGGGATTTGAATGCATGCCTCCCAACTGAGAGACAGAGACACTAATACTGCACTACATGACCCCATGCCTCTGCTTAATTAATTTTTCAAACTTTAATTTCTTGAGTAAAGACTCCTTAATTCATATGAATAGGAATTCCATCTCATAGAGGTGCTGGCCAATTAAAGGCTGGCAGCTCTGCACACTGGCAACAACAGAAGGAGCGATGGCCACTGTTGTTGCTATAGGTAGCCTGTGGAAATGATGTTCAGTGACTGATCCAGATGTTCAGGTATGTCCAGGATCATGTCAGTCTGAATGTTACAAAAATGCGCCTAATGAATTTACATACAGACACTAAGGATATTATAAAAGGTGAAGGAAAGTGAAATAAAGATTGAAAATCTTCTCGTTATTAGAAGTAAAGTGTTGCCATTTGCATTTTTTAAAATTACAGCACAGGATCATGAGAAGTTGAACATTATACCTAATTACAAGTCAGAATGAAAGAGTGATGTAAAGTTGAAAGGGCTCCTTGCAAACCTGGGGAAAATTTTGAGCAAGTTTTATTTTATGAAACTAGTCGTAAATGTGAAATAGTTCACAGTGCTATTGTGTTATCTTAATGCAAAGCAGATTTGATATACAATACTATAAGAACAACACTATAATCTAGAGTCAAGGAGCAAACCTAATTCTGAGAATATGATGTCACCTTCAAAGTACTTTTTTCTGTCTAGGGCTAAGCTCTTTTTTTGGCTACAACTTAATTCCAGTCAAGCTCAAAACATGATTTTAAAAGCTAACTTCGAATCAGTTTAGAAAAAGGTAAACAATTAGAGTTCACATGCACCGCCTGTCTTTATTGGAAAACATGGGAGGTACAACGTATAATGTCACCCTGCTCTGGTTAATGGGTCATACATTGTACTTTGAGACTGAATTTACACTGCAGTCCTTTGGTACTCCAATTAGTGTGAGATAACTCATCGAAAAACCTTAGTACATTCCATGATAGGGTTTAACTGATACTTTTACCTATTGAGCCTGCAAAGCTGTTTTCCAATCACATAAACTTTTCAGTACAAATGCAATCTTGGATATTGGGCTCACATATTGTACCCTTAGTAATTGGATAAATCATTAGAATTCTAACCTGAAAACAGTTCAACTTAACAGGGTGCAGGGAGACAGGAAAGCTGTTGGAAGAAAGTTGAATGACTGAATAAATGAAAGTGGAAGATACAATCTGAGATGGCGATTAGTGAGAATCAGTGAAAAAGACAGTGAGATATTAAGGGGAACAAACCCTTCTACCACCAAACATTTGGAGGTCAGCTCCCTTTGTTTTGGAGGGCTGCTCTTAAATCTCTGTCATGTGTATTTGGCCTTCACGTTTGGACTGTGAGCTGAGTCTACCAGGTACTGGCTCTGGTTTCCAAGTCAGGTATTCACAGTGGCTAGATTGTTGGGCATGTTTGGTAGGAGCAGAAGCAGAATATTAATGAAAATAACAAATGCTGAAGATCACAGCTGGTCAGACAGTGTCTATGGAGAGAGAGCAAGCTAACGTTTCGAATCCAGATGACTGTTCATCAGAGCAAGCAAGTTGGGCTGTCAATAAGGAGCTTAATAAACAGTAATCCCAGTGAATTGACAACTCTCTGCTGCCTAGTGAGAATCCTGCCATGCTGCTTGTAATAGATGGAGTGACATGATCTCCACATCGAGATGGGCCTCACCAGACATTTTGTCCCATTCTGCCACACAACTCACCATAGCCCATGTCACTCAGATCCCTAAACATTTCCACCCAAAGTTCTCAGGACAGGATCCTTGCCTACAGCTTGGACCAGGTTGCCTACCAGGGCTGCTTGCTTGTGGTCTTAGCGTGCATCACCTGGTGCCAACTGGCATGCCTACAGCATGAGATGCTTACAACATCTCTCGTTGAATGTTTATAAGGCAAAGATAGGAATTAAGGGTTATGGTGAGCAGGCCGGTGAATTGAGCTGAATCTACGAAAAGATCAGCCATGATCTTATTGAATGGCAGAGCAGGTTCGTGGGGTGGGTGGGGGGTAGGGTTGCAAATGGCCTACTCTTGCTCCTATTTCTTAAGTTCTTATGCATGCCTTGCATTGCCGATTAGAGCAGTCACATAAACACAAAGCTGGTCATGCTGCTCGGTAGTCCTCAGTCAAGGACACATACATCTTGCTGTGCCACATCGGTCTCCCTGTGCCAGCAGTGTTTGAGCCAAATGCACTAGACCTGCAGCAAGCAGTCAGCCATATCTTCAAATCCTAGAGGAATAGTCTTCAGTGAAGTTTATTAGTTGGAGGACCAGGTACAGTTAGACAAGGGTACTCACCCATACCAGCCTAGGGCTTTGGTAATGATCAGGAATCCAGTCAGGTGACATTGCACAGGGGCCCCATGCCACTGCTTTCCAGGGAGTGTGTCCTTTGTTCTTTGTCTCCACAGGGGCCATTCTGGGTATTGTTTTGGTGGTCATTAGCATGTTGAGCCAGATGAGGCTGCAGGCAACTGGCAGAGGACTTCTCACTGTCAATTTCCATTGTGAAGCAAATGGAAAGGAGAAGGAAACAGCCACCATATTGCATAGAATGGCTAGGACAAGAGAGCCAATGTCTGGTAGAGGGAGGTGAAGCAATCACTGGTCATTGGACTTTCACAGGGGAACAGTACTGGCGGAGGCCCATTCACAGTTCATGATGGAAGGCATGCAGACTGCCTTTCTGTAGCGCTGACCTGCTTTGTGTCAATGATTAGGCCACTGCTGCTGGATTCATTGACAACTATACTCCAATGCACACAGCTACCAGAGCATTGGGGAATGTTGAATGATGGTGCATATGGGGCCAGAATGACCCAAAGCCACATACACATTGCTCCCCCTCCTCCAACATAATGATGTATTAGGCACTCAGTGCATATCCCCATCCTTTGTATCTCACTACTCTCCATGAAGCGATGCTGGAGGGTGGAATGAAGCATCTCAC